ACACATTGTGTGTAAGGGCCTGGCTAAAAAAAGGGGGGAAAAATAAGGAAAAAGGGGGGAAATAAGGAAAAAAGGGGGAAAAATAAGGAAAAATGTTCAACTGGAGACAACTAAGAAACATAGGATAACAAAGAAAATAGCAATGAGTCCTGGTGGTTAATAAGCCACTTTCATCTAAACAGAAGGATCCAACTTTGATTGTCACAACATGCAATGTAATTTCATAGCAAAATAGTACATCAAGAGCTTTACTGTGGGGCAGCTGAAAGTGGCCAGAATATATTCCCTGAGGCTCACCATGGTACCAGCTCCCTTCTTACTGTGCCCAACAAACCCAGTTATCCTTCAGAAATGGAAAACAAACCCCCAACTCTGTCCACATGAAGTGTGTCTGCTAAAATGCACATTACTGAAAAGGCAAGGTCAAGGGCGTGCAGTTGCCTGCTCCTGTTCAGTATTCAGCACTTTGGCATCCACGAATACACTTTGAAGTCATTCATCAGACCTGTTATCCTGAGAGACTCAGGGACTGGCATATAGATGGCTGAGTTAGAGTCTGGGGGAGGCTACATGGGCAAGGGTTCTTTCTTATCACAGTCATGCTTACATTAGCCTTGCTTATAATCCCCCCTCCAATCCCAATGTTGGCAAAACTCTTCTACCTGAACTTTAAAGCCCATTTATCCTTTAACTGTGACAGGGATCTATGCAGATTCTGGATCCATCATTTGCCTATCTAGAGACTGGTGTTTTTGGTTTTTGTGTCCAATAAGCTGTCTTGTTTTTCCTGAGAAAAGCACAAAAGCAAATTGGATGCTACAAACTAGCACTAGAGGGCAGAATAGCTCAAGGTTCTGAAAGAAGGGACATGCTCCCTCCATGATATTTTATGTTGTTTCCTTTGAGTGAGTGATAATCTTGCAAAATTCCATTTTCACAGGCTACTCCTCTCTGCCCAGAACTTGAATCCATCAGTCTGGCAACCAAAGCTTCTCATCATCTCACTCCCATCTCTCCTAATCGAGGTTCCCAGAAGGAAGGGAAGTTCTGCCCCTGACACCTACGTGTCCTCATTATGCCCTGACGGAAGTTGGTCCCTCCCTCCTGGGCACTCCAGTCTGGAATGTATCCCTATGCTCCTCCCACTATTCCTTCTTATGCCAAGAGAAAGCCCAGCCATAGCACTCCTCCAAGCTCCACCTCAACTGGGAAGACTCCTGTAGAGACTGAAGAAGCCTCATTGAGTTCTCCAGCCTGTCTCCTGCAGACACTGATGACTTTTATCCTCCTGTTATTTAGTTATTTGAAGTGTGAGAAAGAGTGTGTATGTGTGTGTTTCCACACCTAAGCTGAAAATTCATGAAGGGCAGGGATTGTGGCTTAAACGTCCTTTGTAGCACTTTATGTAAATATTTAAATAACTCCTGAATAAACAAAAGAACATTACTCACATTGGCAATGGTGGAAACAAATAACATAATGACGGTGGCGATGTGGACCACAAAGATGCCAGCCAGTAATACCAACATCTTGGCTTTTTGATGACTTGGTGAGTTCGGAGTCCTGAGAAGAAAGGAGAAAACAAGAGGGAAACAAAAGGTTACTACTGTCAGAGGCAAGAAGATAATTCAGCTTTCCCACACCTGTGAGCTATCTGCTACAATCTGAAGGCGCTGCACTAAAAACCGTCACAATTCCATCATAAATTCCTAAAGACAGTTTAGCCTGGTTCCCTCCGTGCCTATTGGTCTATTGACATATACCTAAATATAAACACAATTCTGCATCTCAGGTACTTATATACCCATCTCTCCAAAACAGCCTGTTTCCAAAAAGGACATTTTGTAACTGTTACTACTTTATTTCGTTTGTGTTTTAGAGGCCAAGCGTAGGACTTGGATTTTTTAAAGGCCTCCTGACAACTATAATTTTCAGTGCAGCAGTGTCATATAAATTTCCATTTTCCACCAGGGCAGTGTCCTTGCCCCTGTCAAACTGTGCATCCAGCAATTGTCATAGAAATGGATGCGTCCCACAGAATAGCAGCTATTACTCGGTGTCCATAGACTGAAGAGGCGACTAATTGGATCCCAGGTGAGATATACAATGTGAGAGCCACAGCTTCTATTATTGTCGTGCTGTTTGGTATTCAATAATTATAACAACGTAATTGCAGTTTAACGGTCTGATCACCTACATTTGACTATTTCAGACTTGTATCACTGTGCCTAAGCCTTGGGCTGTGTGCGCCCCATGGCAGGGAACCTGCTATTGGTCTGGGAGCCGTGTTATATTCCCCATGAGTCAATATGACAGTTTTGGGGGCTCTAGAAGCAGGTAGCTTGGAATACCACCAAATGTGCCTTCTACGCGTGCGTGACATTTATACAGATTCCAGTCCTTCAAGAGTTAATGCAGAAAACAGGCAAATGCATAAATCACAGGGTGGGAGAATTGGGAACTAATATAGATTAAGAATGTGCGTGGATAAACAAAAGTGTTCAGCCATAATCTCAGCGGTGTAGAAAAAGAGAGCCCATTGATCGTAAAACCCAGGACATAAAGGGAGTGTGAAGGATGCACATTGCTATTCTGGTTTATGTCAGCTGCGGGAGTGCTGTGTCATGCCCAAACAGTCACATGCAGTGCAGGCCCCCAGAGACTTCAAAGCAAAGGGCTCGGCTTATTCACACCCTAGCAGCGTGCGAGATGTGGACTTCCCCACCTAGGGGCTCTGCACATCCTGCAATCGGCCCACGTCTCTCTCTCACTCCACCTCATTTAATTGAAGCGTTGAGTGTGCTTGAGCCACTTTCCTACTGTAGCAGGTATTTATTGAAGAGCACTAATTCCAGCACTTCAGGTGCCTTTTATCTCTGCTCAGGAAACACTAGAGTGCCTTGCTCTTTACAGGCCAAGCGTGAGAGGCAGACACTTCCACACTTGCTCCAACAAGCCCCGCCCTTCTCCCCAATCTAAGCACTTCCCTCCCACCTAGGCTATTTTGTAGGAATTTGTCCAATTTCACTGTGAGTGACAAAAATGATGAAGTTTCTCCTGTGGCCTCAGGGGAGAACTTGGAGCTTTCATGTGTCTGCTGTGAATACTCTCTCCAGGCCTTCAAATTCATTTTTGCTTTTCTCAGGCTCTTACACACCTCCACGATTTTCTGCTTGACTTTAATGCACCGTGAAAAGAGGTTTTGGAATTAGACAGAGGTTGAGTTAGACTCATATAAAGTTACTTGACCTTTTGGTCTCAGTTTCCTCCTATATGAAGCGGAGGATTGCAATAGGGAAATATGAGGGTTAAATTGGATTATATATGTGAAACTCCTAGCACCGTGCTTGGCACATGGCAGGTACTAAGGGGGGTTGCTTTGGTTGCTGTTATAACTATGATTATTATATGAAACTGTTGCCAACCCAAACCAGTCAATCAGTCACCAGGCTGCCCCATGTTAAGTGCAAGTAATAGGATATCTGCCATCCAGGTCACAAGGGCGTGTATATGCAATCATTCTTACAAGTTGCCATTATGACTAATCTTTGCCGCTTGAGTGGGAGACCTCAGGAATGAGGAGGAGAAAGTTCATTCTTCTCAGCCTTCCATGTCTTTGGGGACTCAACAGCATTTTCTGTCTGCCTGATTTATACCTGGCCACACCCTCCATTTTGATGACTTGAACATCATTGCATTCCAAATATCTTCCAAACCTCCCCCCCACCTCCCCGCCCCTGCATCCTCACCTTGGCCAATCCACACACCCCTGAGGCACTCGAGTTCCTGGCCTACACATCTCCCTTCTGATCTAAACCACAGCCCTATCCAATCATTGTCTCCTGCCCAGTGCAGGCAAGAGGAGAGGTTGTCGG